TCTCTAAACTACCGCATCAGATTTCCAACACTGAATAGATTACTGGAATCTTGTAACAGAACCTTGGGGACAGATTGATGCAAGACTCTTGTATAGCATGGTCAGGGCAGCTAATTCTCACTTCTTGCCACCAGAGGTCAGTGTCAACAAGGCTGGTAGCTTATGTGTCTTAGCTTAGGAATGTTAAAATTTTCAGGGCACTGAATCTAATGTTCCCTAAAATACCCGGTGAAGTGACACATTGCATGTGACAAAAGTTTGAGATGTATGGCTGGCTCTGTTGGCATTTCTACAACTATTATGCATACAGATCTTAATATACATGGTGATGGTGCCCTCTAAACAAAACCTGGTCTGAAAGAGCCCAAATACAAAGTTCTACATCCTAAACAACTTTTGCCTCCTTAAAAACTAGCTACTGCTAGTGCTCAACTTTTATAAAAAAAAATATTGTTTTAAATGTGCACATCCTTAGGTTTCTACAACCATAAACCACACAAATATCTAGCTTATCTAGTAAAACTATTAAATAAGAAACAGTAGGATACTGTGTATAGCATGTTGTGTAGTCCACTGGCAGTCGGAGCTGATGCCAAGCTGGAGCTGATGCCAGCATCAGCTGATGCCAGCATGGAGCTGATGCCAAGGCTGTGAAGCCCAGTGCAGCTGTTTACAGCCTGCTTGCTGCCTGCAGCAGCTGCCCAGAGCCCAGGCTGGCTACAAACAGCTGCACCAGGCTCCAGAGCCCAGTCATCAGCTCTGTGCCAGCAGTGGGGGAGAGGCTGGGGTTGCGCTGCTTCAGGCCCTCCCCACCGTTTGCTCCGAGGCGCACGTGCACCCGCTGGTACGGAGCTAATGCTGGAGCCCGGAGCAGATATTTGCAGCCTCCTGGCTCCAACCAGCCCAGGCTCTGGGTAGCTGCTGCCGACCACGGAGCCCCGTCTGCTTGCAGCAGGATTTGCAGCTACCCAGCCGCCTGCGGGGAGCAGCCCAGGCTTCACGGCTGGCAGCAGCTGCCTAGAGCCCAGGCTGGCAGTGGTGGGCCGAGCAAAATGGCCTCGTGTGCTATGCTCAGCACGTGCCAGGGGTTGTTGACCTCTGCAATATAGAATACAACAAGGCTACAGCACTTACTGTGGCAGGCATGGTAGCTTACACCTGGATCCATTTGTTGTTTTTTTTAAGTGATTGTAATAAATGAAGACACTAACCAGTTGCCTCTTCCCAGAGGGTGAGTTCCGATTAAGATCTTTTCCAATAGACCATCAACTTCAACTAGAGAAAAAAGGGGCAAGTCTATACATACAATTAATGCAACTAAATAAACTCTGGTGCAATTTGAGCTGCAGCAAAGTAATTCCAACTTCACTGTCTACACATGTGTTTAAGCCACCATTACCAGTACCTGTGTCTGACAGGACTATCCAGTGGTGCTGTAAATTAATCTACACCAGCCCAATTGCTGTGCACATGTAGATGGTGACACTTTACTGCACAGTAAATTAGTCTACTGCACAGTAAAGTGCATGTGGAGATATGCCCACAGGCAGCTAGTCTTCAATGAAGGCACATGCTCTTTCCCCTGACCATCCTTGCAAAAATCTTTCCCTGCACCATCTTGGCAATAACTTCATCTCTCTATGCTCCTCCTTTCAGCTGATCAAAATATGCTGAACTTGGGCTCTAAGAACCATGAACTGCTTGCAGTGAGTGCTTGCCTGTGATGCATTAATTTTGCATATGCATTACTTTCTCAGCAGCCTTCATTCTGGTTAATCTGGTTGCTGATCTTTTTCTTTCATCCTTTGTACCTTATCACTGCCCAAGCAAAGCACAAAACCTTGAGCTTAATGAAATTAGAAACCACCATTGTTTTTAACAGTTTAAAATGTAATTGGGGGATGGCAAGAGATTAAAATAAGCCCTTTATACTGGTAACCCTACTTCTGTCTAGAACTTCCTGAGTAGGAAATCTTGAAACAGGCCTTTTCCGTGCACCACCTTTGATTTTTTGAGTGAGGCCCTTTTGCTAGTCTCTATCCATCCACGCTTAGTGCATTTGTCTCCTGTTTTGATAGCTGACAGTGAATCATGGGAATGCTGACAAATTAGTAGTGTGCACCTAAAGACATTACACTGAGCCAACCAGCAAAACTTTTATGTTCTTATGCAGCTCTGAATATTTCTGCTTTTTAAGAGTAGATGACAGCATTTTACTCATCATGCTCACTTTCTGAGCTCCAGCAGCTACTTCAGAAGCTTTTCCTAATTGCTGTTACCTACTCCAGCGGAAGACTGGAATCTGATCCAGAAGTATCTCTCACTTTCTGCCAGAGGAGCAGGCTGGAGAGAATTGGTGTCCTTTTTTCCAAGTCCGCCTTGCAGCTTGTTTACCTTTGCATTCCAACTGGTCACCTCCACTTACTACGTAATGTGCGACAGCATGGAGCTATACCAGGTTTGTGAAGATCACCTCAAGACATTAGCAACCTACTTAGTGGCAAAAGATCTCCAGTTCTACTTGTGTTGGGCTTAGTGGTCTCTTCCCCAATATTGTACTGACTATACAAGAGTGTGTGTGGGCTTAGAACCTGCTTGCTCCTAAGAGGAAAGTGGGACCATGAGCACTACCAACTTATTTCCTGGGAGGGACTTGCCCAAGGATAATGAACAGTTTTAGCCACCAGATCACCTAGGGCATAAACAAGCATATGACAACTGCATCCCTCTCAAATGCCAGACTGTAGCAAAGATGTTGCAACTTTAACCCTGTTTCATTCAGGATTAGAGTTAGTGATTTATCACTTATATTTTTAACAGGATCATGCAGATGTAATAGGTATATTGCTCCTGAGCAGCAATTCCCCATCCTCTTTAAGTTGTCATCTTCATTCATAGCCTTGATCTCTTCTCTAAGTCTCTGCTGTGACACTGCTTTCACCCTTTGTGCTGCAGAGTAGCCTTCAGCAGTTTAGAACTAAGACTGTCTGTCTGCTACTTGAGCAAATCTTCACTGTATTTCTCCTCTAGCCTAAAACAGGAGTAACAAGCCACCACCATGGCCTAATTCCACCAGTGCTGTAGGAGTTCTTTTATCAGTTTGGATGGTCAGGTGAGACCATGAAGAATCACAGAAATTAAAGGCTGGAAAGGGACCTTGAAAGATCATCAAACCCAACCTCCCTACTCTGGGCAGGAATACCGCTGAGATCAAATGATCCCAGAAAGGTGTTTGTCCAGTCTCCTCTGGAAGACTTCCAAGGTTGGAGAGTGCACCACCTCCTTGGCAAGTCTATTCCAGATTTTGGTCACCCTTACCATAGAGAAGTTCTTCCTTGCATCCAACCTGAAACTATCCTCTAACAGTTTATGACCATTGCTCCTTGTCCTCCCCTGGGGCACCCTAGTGAACAGTTTTTTTTCCCAGCTTCTGATATTTACCTCTTACATACTAATAGACAACCACCAAGTTCCCCCTTACTTTTCTCTTCCCCAGGCTGAACACTTCCAGATCCCTTAGTCGTTCGTCCTCCAGGCCCTTAATCATTCTTGTGGCCCTTTCCAGATTCTCCACCTCTTTTTGTGAAGTTTGGCACCCAAAACTGGACACGGTACACCAGCTGGGATCTCACCAGCACCGAGTAGAGAGGAAGTATCACTTCCTTAGCCCTGTTCACAGTGTACACACTAATACATCCCAGTATGCTATCAGCTCTGTTAACTACAGCATTGCACTGGCAGCTCATGTTCATCCTGTGATCAACCATAACCCCGAGATCCCTTTCAGCCATTGTGCTGACCAAGATACATCTCCTAACCTATATTCATGTTGCTGGTTACTTCTCCCCAGATGAAGCACTCTGCATTTGTCCTTATTGAACTACATCCAGTTCTACTCCACCCATCTTTCTAGTTTGTCCAGGTCACCTTGGATCTGTATCCTATCCCCTAGTGTGACTGCTTTTCCCTGTAACTTACTACTGTCCACAAACTTAGCCAGCGTGTTTTCCACATTCTCATCTAAATCGCTAATAAAGATGTTGAACAGTATGGGCCCAATACCACTGGCCACCTCCTACCAAGATGATACTGACCTGTCTGGATTCAACCCCTTAGCCAGTTTCCAACCCACCTGACCATGAGCGCTGCCAGCCCACTATCCCCCAATCTGCCTCATTTCTGGTTAGCTCCTTTCCCCATGCTATGGAGTGCTGTAACCCACACACACTATAAACAAGCTTCATGCTCAGTGGCAAAGGACACATCCTGTCTGGCTTTGGACCATGAACAGGGATGATCAAGAAGATAAGCAGGAGCTCTGTTGTTCAGAAGCAGCCATTAGCTGGAGAGAAGTTACCTTCATGACAATAATCTTTGCCTCAAGCAGAACCCTAGGTCTATGGGAGGAGGGTAACAGCTCCAAGACTACTTCTTGTATGCATTAACCAAGACGACCCTCTCTATCTTAAGTGGAAGAATCAAGAAAATCCCACCTCAAATTTCTATTCCTTTGTGCTGGCTGGTGTAGAATAGTGGAGTGCTGAGCCTCTAAAGAACTTAATTTGCTAGCTGACTAATGGGTACTAAATGTCTTTTCCAAAACTGGACAATCCAGTGCAAACCTAGCAAGGATCCAAGTGCTCTCACTCTGTCTGAGACTTTGTCTAAAGGTACTGATTTGGGAGCTTTTAAATGAAGAGGAGCATATTCCACTGGACTGCTATGACTATGGTTGTTGGTACAAAACAGCTCTTAACCATATCTTGTTTCCATGGTGACACTTAATTTGGAATGTTAAACCATAACTGTGAAGGAGCCTATCATTTCTACAAGACCATGTGTTGCTGTTTATAGTCAGGATGTTTAGAAAATATGTGTGCGCTTTCCTAGGCACATTTGGGTGCATAATTAGACAACTCAGCATCCTTTTGCTACACTGATCTGCTCTTTCAGCAGAAAAAGTTTTTACCAAGCAAATCCCTGTGAATATTCACAACGTATTTGTACAAATGCAGTTTTATTTTGTTTTAACAGAACAAAAGAACAAAGTTGAAAATATTAGAATATACAACACATTTTGGTTTATAAACAAAGTTCTCTAGTGGTAAAACATTTCTAACCAACATTCAAGGTCATTTTCAAATTTTTGCTTCATTGTAGGTCTGAGGACCAATAGTGTTCAAGAAAGCACAGATTGCATAAGGTGTACAGTACCTCAGCTCCTGCAAAATAGTTCCTCTAAGAACATAGATAGCAAACATTCTGAAGAAATATCAAAGGCAAACATTAATCAACTCTTCCCCACACATTCCTTAAAACAAAGAGTGATCTTTGGCATAAACCATTATGTATTTAAAGGCATTAGTAATATTGCATTAATATCAATCAAGCAACTAAACAGTGGTGCTAAAACTCTCACAGAGATGCCTGAATTATAGGGGATTTAAAACAAAATACAGGAAGACTAGTCAGAAGACCCTCAAAGGTGTCTCTTCCCTGTTCAGTGTTGTTTACTATTAAATACAAATGACTACATTACAATAGGGTTAAGAGTCTGATATAAACCAAAGCAAGATACTGGGGTTAAGGCTCTGACTCACTCCACCCTTCTGTTGAAGGTAGTTACTGGAGATATCCAAGAAAGGATCCTAAGTACTGTGTGTTCTGTAATACCCAGACAAAAGGAGTGAAATAAGGATGAACAAGTGCTTTCTCTTGCCAAGGTCATTGAGGCAGCTTATTATAATGTAGCTCAAATATCTGAATTTCCCTTTTAGAAAACAGTACAAAGGAGAGAGAAAAATTGGTAAGGGTACAGTAAATGTAGCAGACAGACGTAAAAGGTGTCTGTTCCTATACCACTTCCTCTCCTTTGGGCTGTTGACTGTATCTAAATCAATGTTCATCAGCAAGGGCACTTGCTTAAAGGTGGATTGAGCATGAGGCATTTGTCCTTCTTTTCCAAATGGAAACTAAGGTGCCATTATGCTGTCAATGCTGGTATGCATAATAAACTTGCAAGTATTCTTTGCAAATACATAATGGCCCTTTCTGACTAACAAATGTTAGTAACTTGTTTTTCCTTTCTTAAATGCCAAAAGAATACAATTAAAGAGCAGCTATCATGATCGTGTTAAAAAAGAAGTCACGTAACATTATGGTAGCATAAAAATAGCTATTTCTTAATATAAGGGAATAAAGACAATTTAACATTTGATTCTATTAGTTACTAGCAGGACTGGGGGATATAGGATTGCAGTCTATAAAATAAGTTGTATGGCCCAGTTTTGAAAAAAAAAAACTTCAAGAGATTTATATGCCAACAGACTGCACGAGACTCGCCCTCCCTTTGCTTAGCCTGAAAAATGCCAGTATGGTGCTAGTCCATCATGGAGTTCAGGGCAGGGAGCAAAGCGTTATGGAAACTGAGCATCATCTTTCCACCTGCCCTCTCTGCCTTGGATGACTAGAATACTCGGATTTCAATGGGGAGGAGCTAGCATACATTTATTTTCTATTCAAGCACTTTGCCCATACAAAGTTGCTTTGAATACAACTGACTGACAGATTCATCTAGCCCAGTGGACTCCACATTTTCAGCTCAATACTCTACCATAGGGGATGGCAAGGAGAAGAGCTCTTTAATTTTTAAGGCCTCTGAAACCGGAAAAGGTTAAGCTATCACCCAAGTGCTACAAACCTCCATTGCCAATCAGTTTAGTATAACAGTTCATATTCCAGCTTGCCTGCTAGTGGCAATGGGAAGTATATGAATACAGCTGGCCTAGGGAATTGTAGCTAGGCAAAAAAGTAGCAGCGTAAGAGATTATTTTAGCAATGGGATTCCTTTCCCCCCACCAGCAAAAAAAGGGATCATTCACGTGAAAACTAACTTGATTACACACCTCTTAAAACTTTTGCATTATGCAAGAACAGCCAGCTAAAAACTTACTGCAAAGCTAATCTGTTTATGTCATTGCTAATTTTTCCACATTCCCTCTCCCCAAAACAGCTAAGTAACACTGTTAGTGTTCCGGACTTCCAATTCAAGTGAAAGTGAGGTCCATGTTTCATACCACCCCATGGAAACTACTGCAATACACAGTGCATAAATGAAGTGTGTTTCTGGGATTATAGAAGCCATGAAGAGATATCTTCAAAAGCAAGTAAAATAAAAAGCTATCACCATTTTGGAAGCAATTGTGAGATGTTGGATACCAAATGCTTTTCAAAGACTTAAAATGCATATTCCTCTTTTTTCCCCTCAAAATGGGACACTGGCACAAGCTAATTTTAAGCTCATGTTTACAGCACTGTTTGCTGGTAAAAATTCTCTGCTGCTTCAAAAAAAAAAAAAAAAAAAAAAAAAAGGCATTTATGTTACAGGATACAATACTTTGTGATGGCTGTTTACTGATACCAGGGAGTCTTTCTAACCCAGCGAAGGGTGAATCCAGCATCTGTTCTAATCTTAATAGATGCTGCTTCTGCTTCTCTCACGGTCTCCTTTACAGATTGCATAAGGTTCTGGGCATTATGAACCAACATTTCAGTAGCCTGTAGAGAAAGGGAAGGAGTTAATTCTTTCAGTTCCTTAAAAAGTGGATGGTAGAGCAGTATTAACATTCAGGCAAGCAACTCCTTATTCAGTAGCATGAAATTACACTCAGGCTAGGAACTCTCAGTAGGAACACTATGCTAGGTCATTCTGGCCTATGAAAGTTTCACGATACCATGTCAAATGTAAAACATCTGTTCCCAGCTTTGCAAGTCCAATCACTCTAAGCATCAAATAAGTCTCTGGCACTTTCCAATTCTTCACAGTCTGCTACTGAAAAATCTAAGAAAAGCTCATGAATGAGAAAAAGCTGATTGATTTGTAGCTCCTGAGAATGTTTTTAGAAAGCCTGCAACTATTCTATAACCTAAATAACAGTTCACAGGATGAAGGTGCTGATTATTAAAAGGGGCGCTCTAACAGTATTTCCAATGATTGGCCAATGAGTTTTTTAAAACTGGTACTACTTAGCCACCAGGGGGCACCAGTGAATAATCTCTCAGACTGGTGGTTCTAAACTTGTTTGGATTCAAGGCAACCCTCAGCTCCTAGCTTTCAATCTTGACAACAGAAAAATAAGAGCACAATTCTTCTGTTGCAGAGAACTCAAGATGACCACAACAGGTCGGAATGGGTTTGACGCAACGGATTCCTATACAAAATCTCTGGGTTTATCTTGTAAGTCAAGGGTCTCCAATTGGGTGGTCCACCCAGCCACTTCTGCTCCCACTGCTCCGATTAAAGCAGCTGGAATCTCTGGGGCAGCCAGAACAGTGGGAGGCACTGGTGAGCTTGCCATTTGTGTGGTAACAACATCAGGGGGCTGGGGTGGGACACTGTCCATGCAGTGGGGGGAAAATTGCCACATCATGGTGGTAGAAGGAAGAAGAGGTAATTGCCAGCATGGAAGTAAGCAGAGGGCTCATGCTTATTGCACAGCATAAGCATGCATCCTGGGGCCCATGTGCAACATGCAGCCCCTGGCCACACTGCCATTGGAGAGCCTTGTTGCAAATCATGAAGGTTTCTGCACACCTAACAGTGATATACTGCACAACCTACTGCACCCTTAAAAGGATCTCATGACACCCCAAGGTTGAGAATCACCGTCAGCATCTCTGCTTACTAATATATCTGATTATCTAACAAAACTGATTATATACAGAACACACCCCAATCCCCTTCACAGGAGTCTACATTACAATCAGTTTTCACTGCTGTTACCTGTTCTGACTCTTCATCACTGATGTTAGTTCTGCCCAGCATGGTAGCTTTGACAGTAGAGAGGATTTTGAGTTGTGTGCTGATGGTTGGGATTCGCTCACAGACCTAAGGGGTAGGGAATACAATGCATCACCTCAGTTTAACCATTGGATATCCCAACGTTGCTGACTACCTCCACCCCTCCAACCTGCTGGTTTTCTACCAATGGACAGAAGTAGACATGCAACCTCTGAGGCTACAGGCCTAATGCCACTAAGGACTTAACTTCTAATGATTGTTTGGCTCATGACAAGCCTGGGCAATTGTTCAAACAATGGGAACACTGAGTGATGTTTCTCATTTGCTCCAAACAGTCCCTCTAGGGTTTGTTCCATCAAGAATAGAGGGTGTGGTTTTTAACTCTAATAACTTTAGCTGTGGCTTACTGTTAGATTATGAAAAAGCCCTAGCATGTTTCATAGTATTGCTCATCTACTGTGACATGACTAGGACACGTACAACACTAGGACATTAAAAACAGTATAGACATGCCTCTGTAGTATGGAATTTTCCTAGTCTCTCTTGGACACTGACACCCTTCTCCTCTTTGTAAATAAAGCCAGATCTTGCAAAAAAGGGCTCACTGCACTGGAGTTGAGGAAAGTGAAACTTTCCAAGCTTTAGCCTTAAAACTGACCCAAGCTGGGAGTGGGAGTTAAGGAAACAGAGCAAACTTTGAACCTGTGGGATGAAAAGAGCAGGATGGAAGAAGGCAAGAGCTTCATGCATATTTCAAGGTTAGATTTGATTACCTGCAAGAGGTTGGTTCTAATACGTTTGTCAGTGCACTGCTTTGCCACCTCCTTGGCCAACCGAGTTACTTCATCTGATGCTTTTGCAATATCTTTCGCACATTGAATAAGGGCACGCTTGGTCCCACTGCCACCTCTCACAAGGCGGGACATCTCTGCCATTAGCAGAGCCATTCTTTTGGCAGCAGCAATGATGTCATTACCCTGCAGAGAACAAACATAATGGTGTTATACAATTGCAGTGTTAATTCAAAAATTGCAGAAAAGTAAACCACACCTGAACTGTCCTCTACATTTACTTCTCTCAAGTGAAGGAAGAACAATTAATGTTTACTCAAAAGAAGAAGAAGAAAAGGAAAGACTTCAGGAAGAGCACTGATGATACATTCAAATTATTTGTGGAATACTTTCTTTGACACTTAGTGAAACAACTTAATGGGAAAAGGAACAGTGACTTGTTAGTTTGTTCACTGAGTAGAAGTGACTATTCTGCTGTCAAGATTTTAAGATGAAGTGTGTTAAGTGTTAAACATTCCTAATTTCCTCTATAAAAGCAGCATTATTAAAAATAGTGCCAAGAAAAGAACATGTGTTAAACTAAACAGCACCAATTAACTGAAGCTTAATAATAAACACTGAACACTTTAATATAAAGATGTTAAATGATATCAGAAACTGAGTCATGAATGTATCAGCTGCACTGCCACTTTATAGTATCTATAGAAGACAGCAGGAAAAGGATTTACAATGTATGCAAGATTTGTCACTTAAGTTCACATTCTCAAGTAGAAGCAATCTTTAAATAATTTTTCTTTTAAATTGCTCTTTGCCAGTTTCATCATAAAAAGCAAAATGTATCTGAATTCTCAGCCAAAAAGCTCCAATAGATTAGTTTTTAATGCTTAAAGAACTTTCCTAAAGACATTCTCTTAAAGTGAGCTTTTTTTTTTTTTAAGAGGAAGGGTTTCTTGTTTGCTTTTTAAATTAGGAACTTATAGTGAAATACTTTTGAAAATTACTTGTAATGGGTGAAAGTAACATGTAAAGCAGAATGCATTTCATCATCTATTCCAAAGATGAAGCCTGGAGTAAGAATTCAGACCAAGTCAATCAGTTGTTAGTATAGTCAGATCCATGTATCTATAAAATGTTAGAGATACGTGAAATACTAAGTGCTATGAATTATTCATGTGTGGTTAAGTGAATGAAGTATTAGCAGTGAGCTGAGGAATAAGAATGCAATTCTCTACATACAATTCTTTCTTCAGCACAAAGGGGGTCATCCTGAGATCAAGAAATTCTGTAGCAAAAAGTACACACTGGGCATGTCGACATGTTCATTAATACATCGTAATTATGGCACATTATTTAGTACCTGTAATGACAGATACTAACAATGCACCACGATCTATGCTACTGTGCATTACTGCAAACTAATGGTCTTTTTGTGATGTTAAAGTGCAGTAGACTAAGTCTGCGCATTAGCACAGGTTTTGCCCACTGAGCTAACTCACAGTAGAATTATTCTACTGTGCTCAAAGCGTCCTGTGTAGAAATGCCCACTGAAAATCTGACTGAGCCAATATCTTTCCTCCTCCTCGTGGGTGTACCTCCAGAGTTTGGTGCTATTTAAAATTAAAGATATCCAAAACATGACACTGAAGGTTACAAAGATGTTGGGCAATATAAAAAGATGTGTTACTTGTTACTATGAACAGTTTCCTAATCCAATGGCCGGCCCAGTTCTAACAAAAACTGAGAGAGAATAGACCGAATACACTTTTTTCAATTCACTTATGCAGAAGAATAAAGCAGCTGGAAACATTTAATAATTACACTTATGAGGCCCCCTAACAAGTTACCCAGCACCAGAATCTGAAAAGGACAAGAGTGGGAATATTTTGTTTTAAAGCTCTTTCCATGGAAAAGAAAAGAAAAAGATCACATATACATACCTAGCCTCAGTTACTGGACCCCAACAAGCTTATATCTTGCAGCATGCCAGTTCCAAAAAGAAAAGTGACCAGCCCTGCAAACACTTATTTGTGTTTTAATGCAATGACAGAGTATGTGTCAATGTCTGAACCGCAGCTTAGACTTCCACTGGGACCATATAAACATAGTCTGAATTCAGCAACTAATGCATTCAGTGCAGCTTCTTTAAAGAGTTCTCTCATCAAGGCCAGCATTTGCATTACAGCCAAGTGCACGTCAGCGGGCAGTCCTTGATAATGCTGCCATACAAAGCCATTCCTTGTCCGTACATATTTTAGTTGAAGCCACTGATAGAGGCAAAGCAAAATAGAACATGTTAAATGACTTCTTGAATGATGTATATTCAGTTATAATCTGAAGTCATTGAGAAACCAAATCATGGCTTCACAGGTGGTCAGAAAAAAACAATGTAAAAGGTTTTTTACACTGCCAGTCACAGAAAGATAGGCAGAGGCAAAGGGAAAGGAAGCCTTTTTGTATTAAGTGACCCAAATCAAGCTTTAATCTAGCGTTGACAAACAGACCTAACAAACTTGTGAAGCCACTCTCAATCCTTAAAATGAAGTGCAGACAAACTTATTCACTCAGACTCATGGGACCCAGCAAGGAGCAAGAGTGATGCAAATGTGTCAACGTTCCACATGGCTTGGATGCACACAGACCAGTTGCCCGTGGGAAACTGAGTACCTTACTAGACCACTTGGTTGCTTCCCGATGTAGAGACTGAGCAGCGGCCAGAATGGGCTGGTTAACGGGCTGATTGCTTGGTATTAACAGCAGCTCAGGCTCGTAATCATCTTCAATGTCAGAGGGGAGGGTGAATTCAGCATCATCTGCATCATCCTCCTCATCTATATCTACACCAGCCTCAGTGGCTTCATTAACCTCAGTCACATCAGGCTTTGCAGGTGGTAGGGAGGGTGGAGAAACACGGACAGTTAGTATGAGAAGCAGAATTTGGTAAAAGAGCATGAACTGAGCTGGTTTAGTAACCAAACATCCTCTTAGGAAATGACAGGATGACTGAAAGTGAGGAGGAGGAATGGCATTAATCCAAGGATCAGCAGAAAGGGAACAAATGTTTTACCTGTGAATCAACATTACTAAAAAAGTAAGAAGAGAAAAGTTACAATGGCTTAAAAGGTGTGAGCACACACTCTTATGCATTTACTAGGTTTACACAAAGAAACTGAAATTTCAGAACACTTTCCAGATATGAAAATGGTAGCATAAATGGGTTTTAAAAACAACCTATGACACAAAAAGAAGCATGCACTGGAAACAAGGAGCTGGGACTGATGGAGATGGAAGGCTTTGTTGCTCAGGTGGGTACTGGTTCACATAAGGATGACCAAAAGAGATAAGAACAGGGTCAGGTAATACCAATGCTAGAAGCTGTTTTGTTAATTAAGAGCAAATAAATTGCAAGAATGAAAATGGAAGTGTATCAGGATTTGCAGAAAACCAACAAAAAGGGTTATGACAAGGTGAGACTTGTGGTAAATTAAGTTAGGAGGGTTGTAATTATTAGCAGACCAACAAAATTATTAATAAAACAACACAGTTGATAAAATCTTTTTAAAATTAGAAAAAAGGACCATATTGTTTTGCCACAATGTTACATTCATTGCTTCTTTTTTCTTTAAATAAGGATTCAAGCCAAATGAAGTCTAGATTACATGATACAGGGATGAAATAATATCAGCACAGCATAGTATTGTTTGTTTGAAAAGTAAGCATAGCCAAAACGTCCAATACCATTTTATTATACAAACTTACTAATTACATTTCTTAGGCTGTAGGCAAAGACTGGAACAAATCAAATAGGTCTCATCAAGGAAGTATGTATTTTTTGCTGTGCCTTAGAACCATCACTTTTAGGGAAAAAATTCACCAGAAAAAAATAAAAACAACTTTGAAAGGGACAAACTACATCTTGTACATGGCTAATTCAGAGTAAGAAAATAAACAAACAGAAGTCTTAATCTGATGAAGGATATCTTTCATGTATCACACAGTACAAACCCTTCTGAAATTGGGCTTCCTAGTTCTTTCTGCTGAAGCCTAATTGAGTTAAAAACCTAATGCCCCATTAGGAAGTGGTTACAAGTGCAGTGTTGACCTAATGGGGACAAATGGACATTCTAAAAAAAGTGAAAAGTTGCCTAACTTCAGACTCTTACAAAGATGAGTATCAAAACTCCAGGTAAAAAAAAAAAAATAGCTCAGACACATCTCCACATACAGATATAAGCATGTAAACTAAGACACTTCAAAAAATAAGGTGAAAGATTGGCTTGTTACACCAAGGGCTTGCCACCCTTTGGCAAACTTAACAGATTTGGGGGGTAATTGGATCTTTTTTCATAATCTCTCAAGTTGCATACTTGATCCTCAGTGGCTGCCTTGTTTGACCCCTGTTGGAAGGTGACCCCTGTGGCTGCAAAGCCCTTGTTTTTTAATAGCTTCCTTGAAAGCACTACTGAACCCAGAGCAAGAAAAAAAATCCAAAAATAGTAGCTTGGACATGTCCTGGGGGTCGACAGAGCATTGCCATTTCCTGCAGCTGTACTCACAGCTGGGAGAAATGTACATTTTTTAACAATTCCCCAAGGGAATCCTTCCTTTTTTCCCTTTTTGTTTTGGTTTGAGTGACTTTTTGAAGTTATCTAAACACTGTTGTATACCAACAACACCAAGTTTGACTTGTTAATTACAGGACAAGTTGTAAGTTTAGTGAATTTTGAAGCTCTGGTGTTGTGCTCTGGAAGGTAAACATTTTAATAGGTGTTTTACTTGATGTCTAAGTTACATATGCCAAGCAAACTTTTCCAGTACATACCATGTTTTATCAGCTTTAGAATCCAGAGCAACTAAGCACTTTGTTTTTTTGTTTTTAAAGAAAGAGGATGTTGCAAACCACCAACCTTCAAAACTACCGTTCATAATGATTGCCAAGTTAAAAGAGGATGGCTTTTCAGATAAAACGTGCACAGACTTTATTCACTGAAGCAAGTAGAAACTCGATCAGTCCTCTCACTCAAAGAGCTGTCCTACTTTAAAAAGTGTTTCCAAAATAGGTCTGGAAGGTTCAATGTTTGTTACAAGTGTATTTCTTCATTTTGCTGGCAAAGTAGGTTTTGCTAAATCAGTGTTGAAAACTTGTTAGGGCCAGGCCTGCCAGTTACATCTGTGGCCTACTGAAGAATAAGTAGTGGAAGTTTAATTTCCCCCCTGCCCCAAATATAGCAAACAAAGTGCCTCAGCAAACAGTGCCTTCCCCAGAAAAGTTTAACTGCTACAAAATGCCCCAAAGTGGTTTTGTGCTGATCCATATCCTGGAGACAGATGGTTTATGCCAAGAGTTAAACTGATGAGATACCTGCAAGTCATCCCAACTAAAGGGCTGGTTGATTCTACAATTTGCACACAAACTACCTGAAACTGATTTAATATAGTCCCCATTTTCCCCAGCACAGAAAGACTAAAATGTTGATAGTTCTATGTTAACCAGGACTGAAGAACCACAAATACAAGAGCAAGCCTGAATGCAAGTGTAGGTTTACATACAGTGTGGTGCATCACAGCAGCCCTAGACATATAGGAATGACCTTGAGGCAGCTGTTCTAGTGCATGTTTCAGAGATGAAGAGATTCTCATTGCTCCTGTTGATATGATTTAACAGTAAAACCAGTGGAAGAGGCTAATTAGGAATCAAAATCCCAATTTAGTTCAGAGTATATGTCCCCTCACTTCTGAAGCAGCTCTCCTGCATTCTCAGTACAGCAAGCTGCAGATTCTGTAGCAGCTATGTTTTCATATAACGCACACAACTATCATTGCTATAGACCCTTTATTTAATTATATCTCCATTTATTTTCTTTAGCCCCAACACATACCCTTTCAGTGCCTTCTAGAATTTAGTAGTGAAAATGTAGTATCCTATAATAAAAGCCGTCAGTATAAAATGGAAGGTTTTTGCAACTGGGTGAGGAAAACAGAAGGAGTTTCTGGAACCTGACAAGTTATAGAAGGCACTTTTGCTTTGTGGGACAGGCACATTAACTTTGGATATTAAAATGCTCAACAGCAAACTAGTTAATAATACTTCTGTTGAAATACACATCATTAGTCTTCAAAAATCAACACCCAACAAGAACTATAAGCGCTGTGTTTCTTACCACCATTGTTTAGGGATTTGCACACATACTGCTTTGAGGCTTTGTATGGAAATTGCAACACTTCCATAATGGCCAGAAAAATGGAAGTGTAATCTGCAGCACAGTTCTGTGGCAAATATCCATCTGTAGAGTTGTGGCATATATAGAATCTCAACCAACCTCCATGCTCAGGATGTGAAAAAACATGTCAACAGCTGGCTTTGGACATTTAGCCCAACCACTGGCCAGGGACAATTATACAGATTCTTTCAGTCCAAGATCTTTAATTAATTGTGGGTTTCAGAGAAACACCCTTCCTACATTAGTTGGTTAGAGGTAGCAAACAATAGAAACAAGCTTGCATATATGCTTCACTTCTTACCTTGCTGGACCATTTTCGGGCTTCATCATGTAGCTGCCTAGCAGCCATCATCATGGGTTGATTAATCACTTCTCCAGCCTTCTGCTCTGGGAACTCTTCATCCTTCTCTTCTGGAGGAGGTGGTCTGGGTGGGGGAACTTCACCCTCAGGAAGGGGTGGTTTCGGAGGAGCAAGTTCATCAGTTAGCTAAGCATTAAACACAGGAGTATGTTCAGTACATTTGAAACTATATGGTGTCATGTCAACGGACATGTGGAGGAGAATTCATGCCTTCTCCCTGTTTTTATAAAGTTCAGCACTGCAAGGAGATTATTAATAGCATTTTATTCCATTACACACTGAATGCAGGACCACTAATTTTGTGGTGTAGCTAGTCAAATACAACTACTTCATTCAAAAGACAAACAGAGTAGCCAAGTAAATTATTTCAGTTTGGTCAGAATCAATAACACTCTTACATTAAACATTAATACTTGTCCTGGAATTGTGCCAGCTGCTTAGTGGTAAGATAGATGTAGAGTAATAGCAAGGGACCCTACTCTGAAAGGTTGTTGCACAATGTATGCGACCAGAGACATGCACAGATTCAAAGGATTCTTTTTGTGGGGCAGTGAAAGAGAAATGGGCAGAAAAGCCTACATTATTTTCCCATAGGCCACCTTCTGGAATATTATTTTACACTAGATTAGGCTTTAAGTAACTCATGTCAGAGGAGAGAAATAAGAGATTGAAAATGTGAAATAGTGGGTAAAACCAAAAACTTTTTTTTCTTAAGTGAAAACCAAGTGAGATCGTGATATTTCTATTTGAATGGTCAAAAAAGAAAGTACAATTGCTGTGAAAGAACACATGCAGTAAATTACTTGATTTCCTGTTGAAAGTTTGCTCTAATTTAACAAAATTAATTAACATGTCAGCTACATCCTTTTCAAGTTCCAGTTCCAAATGCACTTAAGGGTCTTGGTAATAGCCTATAAAGCTAACACTGGAGTAGAGTTAGAGACCGCCCCTCTCTAATCTGCTTCAAGAAAAATTGTGCTTTTGAGTCTGCTCCAAAGCCCAGCAAAATCCTAAGTGCTTCATTCTTAACCCAACTACATCAAGGTCTAAAAATAGTGCCACCAGAAGTTATTTTAAGTAAAAACTGAAGTCTAGCTACACAGCAGCATTACTGTACTTAATATGAGCCTGATAATTTTCATTGTCACTACATGTAATCAACACTTTGCCAGTACAACTTGAATGTATCATTACTGATAAATTACAGGACACTTACATGAAGCTGCTCAAGGTCTGGTGGAGGAGGGGGGAAATCAGGTTCTTGAGGCTGGAAGGCTTCCCTGACTTTTGCTACAGCTCCCAGAATCCTATATCCAGAATCCAGAAAGCTCTTCTGCAAACCTGAACAGATGATCCAATTATGAATTGTCTGCATAACCCACCTTGCCAACTGAGTGACAGACCACAACTTCAGTATTTTCATTTTGCAAAACACCTGGCTGTTCAGGTAACTTTAAAAATATGTTGCCTAGGGGCATGTAATAATTGCCAGAAATGTATCCAGTGGATTTTAATTTTTAGCATGTTCATTCTGGCTGAGTAGGAATCTACTTTGAGTAGCTCTGGTCACAAAAAACAATACTTTGTCATCCTAAAGAAAATGCTATACATAGTCCTCAGCAGCCACTTATAAATACTCCACCATGACAAAGATCAAGAACAGCTGTGAAGGAGCTTTTATCTAACAGACCAAGTATCAAATTAAGTGGCTGAACCTTGAATTCAGTGAAGGTTTTTTCACTAAATTTAAGCAGCAGGTTCCAGAACTAAGTGGTACAAATCTTGAATCCACCACACAACGATGCAGGACCTGAAAGGATGCATGTTCTGAAATTACGATTGCTCTATCTTTCTCCTAGCCTATACTAGTACTTCAAAAGTATTGAGCAGAAAAAATACTTGAGCTCAACTCTTTTTTTAATGCTTACCCGGGTCAGAAATGTTCCCCGCTACAGCTTTAGCATCCATTACCATTGGCGATATAGTTTTGCTGAGGTCATCAGAGGCTGCCTTAACAGCTTCCCGGAATTTGGGATCCTCCGAATTTTCAACCTCCCGTTTTGCCACCAGTAAGATCCGATTAGCCCTCCGAGCAATGCTGGTGGCACCGGCTACAAGCATCTGAGGTTGGATATTAGCCATTGCAACTTTACATTTATCAAGGTCTTTCTTGATGGCTTCTTCTGATGCATCCAACAGAGACTTGGTATCAATTGCTTCATCCACCAACCCTAAGACAAAAATTAAACATGCTGATGTTTCTCTTTCACGTGTAGAAAAGCAAATGGATATTTAGGGCTCTAGAGATTGTTAATATTTGAATATAGTCTCTCTCCTGGATGGTTAAGTTCCTTTACATACAGATTCTAGATGAAGGTGACTCCAGACCATGAAGTGTGGCAGAGAACATAACATTCAGTAATGCAAAGATAGAGCATTTATCTTCTTTTTTTATAATGACAAATGAGTTTTCTAGCCACTGCCATAGGTCACCCAGAAACAAGGAAAATGAAACATCTAGAACTGCTATTGTGTGAAACTGATTATGTGCACTTGCCACTCAGCCACCCAAATCATTCCCTGTTTATAGACAGTTTGTGTTGGACAAAATACTGCTGCATTTGTGTTTTTGCTGCTGCGTTGGTGTTTCACATCAGCCAATAAGACTATCATAGTTTACTTCCTGTTTCAGTTAATTCAGTGGTCCATTTCCTATCCTTGTTTTATCACTAATCACCACCACCGTGGATTCTACTCACATGAAATGAAGAAACTTCTTGCATTTCCCAAGTTCTGGTATGAGATAGCCACAGCACTTGCCTATTTCTAAAAGTCTCAGACTCAAGAAAATCAGGCCATGCTAGTAAAAATCTGGTAGCAACTGAATATACAGCTTACAACATGGAAGAGAACTGAAATAAACTATTAAGTGTTGGGGGATTTTTGGTATTTTAAACACAACACATTTGAAATATACAAACACAGTGGAAGGAATGCAAGCATCTTAAAAAAAAAAACATTAATCAAGATAAACATGTATCACGAAGAAGTGTGAAGGACAATTCATACCAGGCTAGCCCAAAAACAATATTCAGTCAGGAAAAATATTAGCCCTGTCACTACTTGATAGCAAGCCCTGATCTTTTATGACCTCAAGCTACACCAGTGAAAGAAAAATTCTTTGACTGAAAACTCGTTAGAAAAACTCAAGACCATGGTTTTACAACTCAACTGGACTTTAAAATGCTTTTTTTATGTTATGGCATGAACAAAAGTGACCCTCCTTGATATTTTAGATTTACCAACCTGTGTCTGCCTCACTCAGGGCACTGACAGACGTGGTGGGAAAAAAATCCTCCCCAAAACAGCACTTTACCAGAAGAGGAAACACATTAGTTTGACCAAGCTCCCCAGAATATGTAAAGCTCAGGCACTTCACAGCAGGGCTTTTTGGTGCTTTTATCTAAAATTGATTAATCAACTATCAGACAAAGGCACCAAAAAGCCCAGCTAAAGCGTCCAATCTATAAAGACATTGGGTGAATTGGGAGGGGGGAGGGGGGGGGTTATGTCTGTAAGCAGCCTCAGTGTCATGAAGAAAAGGATATTAAGATTCAGACGCAAGAATTTCATCAGTATATAATGCATTTTTCATTCTCTGGAAATGGACTCAAACACTTCAACAGTTATATCAGAACATATGGCAGGAGATGCTTGAAAGGCAAGAGACAACGGTGTAGTACCAAACTGAACTTTCACTTTGCTTACACACAGATCCAGGGATGTCCACTGTTGTTTTTCTTCACTACACACTCTATGGTTATAGTATATGATCCGCATCAGTTGATACAATACCCAGCTCATGCTATCCTGGATAACTGCTGTAGATTGCAGCTGGAGCAAAGAACTAGCTTAAAACAAAAGGCACATTGCTGCCTGTAAATTTCTTTAGGCTTATTTTACACTTTTGCTAGGCAGTCCACATGTCAACGAATTTCTGATAACAATGGAGCGTTAGCATATGAGAAGAGGGCTGCAAGTCTCCAACTGTGCTTTCAGTTGATTTACTTGAAAACGTGTAGTGCTTCCAGGCTAAGTGCTATTGGGGTGGAAGAGAGAGGGGAAATACACACCAGAGACAACTAAATCTATCACATAAAAGGGCTTTGGTCATGCCCAGTATCAGGAGCTATCGTACTATGGGGGCTGACCAGCAATTGTGTAATGAGATGGTACCTCAGTTTCATCAGATTTATGTTGCAATGACCTCTAATTTGGACTTAGTTTTATGCTCTATTTAATAAGCTGTTGCTTCATTTCCCTCCCCTACCAAGTCTTGCTTGCCTCATCTACAGCATATCAGCAGCAACACATGCATGCACTGTTAAAAGTGGTCAATAGTTACCTACTGCTAATCAACTAGTTACAACAGACTCACCACAAAAGGTCACGCTTCCAATACCAAGTGGAAAGATACTACAATTTGGAAATATATGTAGAAAAAAAAAATGAACCAACATACCTATGTAGTTTTGAACTGTAGAAAACAAGATGTATTAATTTGGCATCTATACAACAAGAAACTTTGCTGAATAGGCTTTTTTCTGTTATGTGTTATGGAGCATAGGCCTGCTCTATTTTATATATAAAAATCTAGTTTTGTAGTTATTACTTTTATGCATATTTTGTAAATCCAAGCATCAGAAAAAATATACTAGGAACTAAGCAGTAAGAAGTATAAAATATTCTGTAACTTTACCTGTCATTTTTTCCACATTATCAATCCATTGATTTTTCATGGTCTCAAAATGTTCATAAGCAGCTTGATTGCCAGGATTTCTTAGCAGAATACGAGCAGCTGATACTACCTGCCAACGTAAGACATCCTTCAATATGTAAAATTTGTTACAAAGGAACAGTTTACATCCAGTTAAAATGTACTTTGTTTTTTACTAGGTGCCCAATTACTCATTTTCAATATTGATCTGACAGTTTTAGTTTTACTGTAAAAACCTTCTGGCTGCATAAAGAACTCTGCACAGCAAAGGAGATTTGAAATGCCCCTGGATACTAGATTATCTGGAATTGCAGTTATTTATGCAGTTGCACATACACCCAAAAACAAATCCATTTTTTTGAGAGCATGCTCATTTGCTTTTGCTGTTCTGAGTAGCAGTATCAAACATAATCTATTCATGCTGCACATATTTACACTTTCATATGACCACCCAAATTAGAAAAATCTTTTTACAGATCATTATTTCTTACCCAAACATTTTAAAGTTCTGCAGGTAAGAATTCTTGACACTGATATTTCCTGGACCATCACGGAAACAACATCACCTTAACACTACCAAAACGTTAAAAGTTTTGCAGGTCACTTTACTAAGAGGGTAAGTCACTGAAATATCTGGCCAAAAGTTAAAGAAAGGAGCATAATCTGTTTCTAACTGTTAGCTTGTCCTATATATTACACATACTTTCCTCCTTTTTACAGATCTATTTTAAAAGTGACTCTTAAACACCTTAAAATATGACACTCTTATTTATAATCCTGTTAGTTAGATCCCAACATAATGCCAATGCAAAAATGCTGTTTTGGTCAACAGGATCACAGAGAAATTCCTCTGGAGTCTTTCTTCATGCGAAGTAATGTTTTAGAATTTCAGGTGTTAAGCAAACAGACCTGAGGTGTAAGTTCTCTCGCTGATTTCACAGTTGCTTGAATGCCTTCCACAGTAGTTTTATTAGCAGTTCCCACAGCAGCTGCTTTTTCTGCTGTAGCTCCAAGTCTAGCAGCATGGTTTTCAAAGTTCGCTGCTCTTTCACCAAATACCTGGAAGTCAGAGGAGAAGAAAAATATTAGCAGCAATGTGCCATCTCAAAAGTATTTTCTGCTCTATTTAGGTCTAACACCATCCTGGTCCCCACAGCATCAACACAAGTAACACATTTTTATCAAACACTGGAGCCAAGATTTTCTGTTCACTAGCTTGGTGCATTAAATCAATTAACATCCTACGGCAACAATGTTTATTTATAATCCCAAGATTAGAGCAGAGTTTTTCCTAATCAGATTATTTAAATTACTAATCTATCCTGTCCTGTTGGCAAGGTGTGTTTTAACATTTTCATGGATGCAAGATATTTGTTACATTATAGCCCAGTAGCACTAGTCAGGAATTCCTGACACTATATATTAAAATATTTTTTGGTTTTGTTTTCTTTATTTTTTTAATCACTGGATGTGGGAAAAATAATTTTGGACCCATGCGCCTAAAAGAAATTAGTCTGACTTCCAAAACTAGGCTTCCAACAAGAAGTGTACAACAATGCATCCAAGGCTGTAGCTGTCATTCTTATAAAGAACAAAATCATCAAAACATGAATATCTCTGCTATAGATATCCTGGTTTCTATTGAATGTTTACTTCCAGTAATCAATCAATTACTTCCATTAATCTAGGAGCAGTTTGCATTAGAATCCTCACAATAGCGATATTGATGAGCATGGATGACAACTAAGGACAAGATCTTCTCTCATGTAAAACTGCATAGTGAAATACCTGAGGCTGCCCACAAGAATGTATTTGTAGTCTCTATAGCACTTACCTCATCTCTATTGGGTGCATCAGGAGGTGCTGTGGCTGCCACTGCCAATAGTTTAATAGGAGTTGTAGTGTCACTGAAGACATCAGAAACTTCCTGAGTCATTGCTTCCTGCATCCTTGTTTTCAGATCCTTTAAAAAATGTTAATATTAGTAATTGCAGGAACTGCACCCTTGCAAAAACAAAGAAAATAGTGCCATATAAAGTGGTTACCACTGAGACATAAGCATGTTCAGTAAATATTTATAAACCACTGTAACATTAAACCTTGGGATATTAGGGCATTTGTACACATGCTTGCGCCGCAGTGTCAGGTGCTTTTAAAAGCCCCCGGCGCTACGGCTTGTACATTTGTATAATCGGTGAACTGTGTGTCAGTACTGAGAAAATGGAGGTGGTGCGCTTTTGAACTAAAACACATTGAAGGTGTTTTAGTTCAAAAGCGCGCTGTCGCCATTTTCTCAGCACTGACATGCATTTTGCCATTATGCATGCAATGCAGTGCTGGGCGTGTCAGCTTGCGTGCAGAGCAGACTCGATTAATTGAGTCTGCTCCGACGTGCTGGATCTCCAGCATGTTGGAGCAGACAAACGTGCGTATAAATGCACTTAGTGATTACAAAACAGCATCAGGAGGCTAAACAATGAATGGCTTAATTAGAGACCTTGTGTTCTTCAAGCAGTCCTTTTTGGGGGGCAGAAAATGAGAATTTGAAAAACATGACCAGTTTTCCCAACACCCTTTTTATGTACAAGACCAAACCTATTATTGATCTGCAATGACAGCAAGAACAGACTCTGAATCAATGTGTCCATCCCACCAAATCAATACCTTCCTAAATGAAATAAAGTCCTTTGAGAAGAGTCATATTAAGCATCTCAAGCAGTGAAGAAACCCATGGTCAGCAAGACACTTCCAGTCTTTTAACTCTGTAGATTTTCCCAAGTTACTTCCTACTTTGTGTACCACCCACATACCTCAGCTAAGAGTACTCCCAACCACGAATATTTTGTGTGCTACATGAAATGGTGATAGTTCCACCTGTAGCAAAGTGTTACCTTCAAGGAGTCCTGGAGTTGGGCAGCAATGGCCCTTGCCTGAGGAGACTCTCCTTCTCCTCTAGCTGCCAGATCAGCAAGCTGGGCAGCCAGCTGTTCTACACGGTCACATCTGGCAAGCAGATCTTGGCGATAGGGTTCCATCATAACATTGGCTAAACGACGACCTTCAGCAACCAGTCCTCGGATTGCAGCCTGGCCTGCAGTATAAGTACTACCTCAGTAATATGCAGAGCCAAAAAGTATAGACAATAACTCAGACATACCGCTAAAGTGGCAATTAAGAACCAAAAAAAAAAAAAGTCTCTTATAACCAGTCTAATTCTTAACTTTCTAGTTACTCAGAACATGGGATGAAGGATCTTTCAAAAGTTTATACAAAGGAATTGCAGTTTAAGCCGTATGAAGAATGTCAAGTCTCTTCAAGGTATTTTTTTTCTTTTGCCCATTAGGCCGTACCATCTTCAGTTAGCAAGGGTTGGCAGAAACAGAGTATTTATTAGCTAATTACATGTTCCTACTGTGCTAATTCACCATGAATTTATCTCACTCTGCAAACAGTGGGTGCATCTACATGTGCAATTAAAGCAGAGCAATAAACTCTGGTGCAGTTTGTGCTGGAATCAGATACTCCCAGTTGCAGCATTTACACATGACCCCAGGACCACGGCACTTTGAGCTGGGGCAAAGCAGACCCAGGCTGGAAGGGGGCCCTAGGAGTCAGCCCCAGGCTCCAGGTGGCAGCGTCAGGCAGCAAAGGGGCTGGCTGCGGCACAAGGATGCTGAAGTGCGGGGCTAGGCAGCAGGTAGCCTCCGCACTTTAGCACCCTCATGCTCCAACCCCCCCTGTCATGATCTATGTGTGTTCCAGTACACGTAAGTACTCTGCTACAAGACAGTACTGTCCCCAACAGTACTATCTTACGGTGGAGTTGGTTAATTTACCACACCCTAAAAGTGGTGCATGTGTAGATGGTGCTGCTTTACTGCGGAGCTAATTAGTCTCCACTGCCATAAAGCTCATTCATAGATGTGCCCAGTTTGGCTAATTTTACAAATTGTGGAGCTCAAAAAGGGGGCATGGGCAAAAGTTCACTTACACTTACGTAAAGGATGGGGACATACGAGAGCATACTTGCTGATCTGCTCTGTTTAATCTATCTTTTTCTAACCTTTAGTAAGTGAAACCCAACAGCAGTATTTTACCCTTGAGTGAAAGTGAAGGAATTACTGTCATTTAACCTTCCTTACTGCAGTTTAGCAGCCAACAGATGAAACAGGTATCCCCAAACCTATAGTAAGTCTCTTCCAGATCTTTTTACAGGGTGTACTTGATCTGTCCATGCTCTCAGTGAAATAATTTTGTCACAGGACCAAAATATACAGGAACAGTTGTGCAGTGCTAACATCAACATTTTGTGAAGCCTCCTATTTTGGCTGAGTAGTCTTGCTGGAACCCCTAACAAATATTTAGATTGCAGATTAAGGATTAGCCAAGATCATGAAGTTTGGATATTAATGTGACATTTCATCCCATCATGCCCAATTCTTATCTGGCAGTGGGAATTAACAATTTCACTTATCACACAGCAGTGGGAGATTACAATATGGGTATTTACATAGGCAACAGCAATAAATTCCAGCAAAATGGCCCATACAAATAAAATCGGGTTTACATTTCATGATTTTAATCAATGCCTACCACAGCATTATGCTAGGAATAAGTGTAAATGTGCAAAGTTATTTGTGACGTGGCTAGTGCCTCCTTAAGGGAACAAACACTGCAGAAGTATTGTCACATTATCACTAGACTAAAAATACCAAGCCAAAAATTCTTCCAGTAATGCTGTATATATTTAACAGAGCGCATATCTGATGTGGTATATTCTTTACAAAGTCTTCACATGAGACTCTAACCCAGGATTAACCTGGAAGCCACATGTTTAAAATGAAAACAAAACCGATACCTATTAATGTATTGGTAATGTTATGACTGAGATTTTTAACCAAACAAGAGATGAATAAGTTATGGCCATCACAAATGCTTATTATTCCCTTTTACACATTTCTACAGCCCTTCCACAGCCAAAAGCATCCAAACAAGTGCTATCTGACTGATGTGCAGTTCCTTCCTCAGGAGAAACTTTTTAGAATTCATTAGGAGGTTTAACTGTGATAAGTAAAAACCTTACCTACTCCACGATCATCAACTGTTGGATTGTCAATCCACCTTTGAGCTTGTTCAATCTTGCCCTCCAAATGGACTGCAGCCTTAACTGGCCTAGTGTTTGCTACAACTTTGTTAGTTTTAGACTGTAAGTTCTGCAGTGATGTGGCTATCTGTTTAGCCAATGCACGGGCCTCTGGAGAATCTCCTTTCCCACTAAGAAAAAGAAAATATAGTTACAGCCACAAGCTCCATTGGACTTGATGCAACAGGCATAATACTTTTTCAGTACAGGTTCCACTGTGATTCTGTTGCTTAGTTTACTATGACTTTGTTCACTGTTATTTTTTTTAGAAAGGAGCAAGCCTAACAATGGTACACAAGTCATTGTGGCAAAACCTGAGAACAATAAACAGGAGAAATTATTTACACAGTATGAAAAACATCAGTAGACAGTTTGAGGTTGCAAAAAATCTCAAGAAAACCCTAAATTAAGATGCCAGCAACTGCAAAATGAGGCATCAATGCATTCAACTCTGCCAGACTAAAGAGGACAGCTGACAAGCACAGCCTGTCCCCACCCCTTGGGCACCTATACACATGCAGCAAGGCTGCTCCAATGCACTGTATTTACAACACAGTGGAGCAGACTCATGGTAATTACTGTGCTCCAGCAGACTCCAGCATCATGTGCATCAGTCAAGTTCATTCTATGAGCTTTAGTTAAAACTACCCCCCTCCGCTGCCATTTTTAGCTCAGGGATGCTGATACACATGATGCTTCACATGCTTTAATTAGGAGCAGCTCTCAAAGCCGCTCTAATTAAGGCACCCCACACCCCACTCCCAGAGCACATGTATAAATGTCCCTTCTTTTCAAACTTGATATAGAAACAGGTTTTAGCCAAGCACAGGTCCCTGAGGGAATGCTTTTAAGCAAACGCTTGCTCTCCCTCTTGCTCCCTTCCTTGCCCCCCTCCTTGTTAGTTTCTGATTTAGCTAATTCCTATAGGCAAACTATATTTACTCAAATATAATGACTGGCATGATACTACTACATACTGTCTTCGTAGATCTGACAGCTTGGCAGTCAGAGCAGAGATTTCCCCCAAGGAGCGCAGAATGTCATCTCTTTCCTTGGGTTCCTCACAAAGTTCTGCAATTTTCCTGGCTTCAGCCATAATTCCGCGAATATGTTCTTCTCCTTCACTGCCCCCATTAGGATCTACAAGCCAGTTCTTCAAAGAAAAGAAAATGTACAAATAAAGATGAAGCCTTCTACTGCAATAAACATCGTTTAAACAAAATAATTTCTTAATATATTTTCTTCCTGATTTCCCCTAATAGTACCTGCCTGATTTGTTACATGAGGCCAAGCGTACAAAGTTACATACATCTTAGCCCGGCTGTCCACTCTCCCCTCTGCACTGACATTATTTTAACTAGTACAATGCAGCTACTTCCATTTTGTATCTCTATAGCTCTATCTTTTAGACAAAGTAGCATTTTCTACCACTGTTTTAAGCAGGGTGATAGATGATAGTTCCTCTAAAACTAAATAAATGGGAACAAAAGCAACAATTGAAGACTATGCTTTTCTTTCAAAAGAGAAAGCCCTTATATTATTCTTGTAAAGTAAACAAGTTAACTGCATTAAAAGACTGTTTTATAGCTTCTTAAACATAGCTGCTAAGTCAGGGACAGGCAAAATACGGCCCATGAGCCGCATCTGACCAGCCAGACCATTCTATCTGGCCTGCGGGGCCCCTACAAAATTTAGAAAATTAATATTTATCTGCTCCTGGATACCTGTCAAAGATGATAGGAGACAGGGGCAGTAGGACCCAGGGGAAGCCAGCAGGACCCAGAAGCAAAGCTGGCCTGGCCCCACCCCCCACAACCGGAAGCCTCTGTCTCCCGCCACTTTCAAGGTTTCCCTGCCAACCTGCCAGCCGCTCCAGCACCACGTGGCCCCTGGCTACATCACCGGACTGTGGGAGCATGGGGCCAGGTGCAGGAGGGTGTGTGTGTGTCTGTGCAATGGCGGGGGGAGGGGAAAATGCACTTCCAGTTTCACAGCTGGCACTTCCAAGGGGGTGCACCCCTACGCATCGCCAATGCCCACACTCCATGCCCCCAACCCCCCACAGTATACAAGAGTAAGACTTCATGTGACACTATTGTGCAATCACCTCTATGTACACTACACAAACGCATGTAAATCAGGACAAAAATATTTTTGGAAACCAAATTAATGAATGCTGTAAATGTTTGATTTTTAGAATAGAATTTGGTATTTTTCTAGTTCTGAGATGGCAAAACCCCTTGCTGAAAGGAATATTTCCAAGGGCAAGGGGAGGAACCTCTGGTAGCAAAGGTCAGGGGGTTTAGGGGGCAGGACTTCTGGTCCCAAGATGGCGACCAGGGGGAGGGGCATCTGTCAAGGGGTAGGCTAGCTATGTGGCCCTCAACAGCTTGCCAAAACTCAGTAAATGGCCCTCTGCCAAAAATAATTGCTCGCCCCTATGCTAAGTCTACATACAAATCTCCATAGAAAGCATCTGAGCCTGTGAACTTCCCAAAAGATTAGCTCCATAATTCCTTTTTTTTTTTAAACAAAGAAAATGTCATGTCTGAAATTTTCATTTTCCCTCTGTTTTCAGAAGCTTATCTGTTTACATCCATTAGCCAATTAGAATCTACTGTACAAGTAGGCTTGTGATAAGCAGTAACAGAACTCCTGTGCTGCCTCCAGACAGCGAAACTGGAAAGATTTATTTGTACACAAGAAAATGTCTCTTCATGTGGAGTAACCACATTCTGTGTCGAGATACCTGCAACAGTTCATTATGAGAACAAAGTAGCAGCTTGGGAAAATATTGAAGTGTTTATTACAACAATATGAACAGTACCTGAGCAGCATCTATTTTTTTAGCAATCGCCTGCTTAGAGTTAGTCATGGCCTCCAGTTTACGGGCTGCATTTTCCACTTTTGCTGTCAACAAATCCAGACCTTGAGACACTTGCTGTGCTTTCTGCATGGCCACTGGTGTAGCACCTTGTCCTCTATTTTAAGTATAATAACATAATCATAAATACCATCGGTTAAAACAAAAGCATGAAGACCAGTCCATCAATTATTAATTTGTTCTTACAATAGTCACAGTATGACAAAGTCAGTCAAGAGACAGATTTTAAGAACTGTACCAGGAAGTTGGAATCAGCCAAATACTCAGTTGAGGAAAGCTGTCTGTCTCTGTCTATAATCTTGTCTGTAGCATCATGAAGAGAACTGATTTCTTTAAGGTTTAATAAAAAAAGAAAAAGAAAAAGGGACCTTCTGGGGCAGTTGCACAAAATTACTTGCCTTTATCTATGTGCTTGTTTTGGAAAAAAGTACAATATATGAAACTTCTACAGAATTAGTTACATCACCTACTATTTTGATAAAAATGCATTGTGTCCAAAATTTTGCATTTTGTATCTATTTCGAGAAACTCCTCAGTTTACATCTATTAAAGATTTCCCATCTAAAATACAAGTAAGGCTTGTAATAGCTGTAACGGAACTCCTCTGCTGCCTCTAGACAGCATGACCAGAAAGATTACATTACAACAGCTGGAATTGCAGCATCTGTGCAAATTATGTTCTGCTGCATCTTAGAATAAGACTGAACTGACTCTGTTAAGTTAAGCTAATATAAATGGAGACATCCTTGGATCCATTGTTTTTTCATGTCAAAAGGCAGATTACTATATGGATTACAAACGTTTGGGTGAACTGGAAACCTCAGGGAAGGTTATTAAGAAGATATGCAAGAATCAATCAGTATGTGGAAAAGGAGAATTAGAACTATTATTTGGATGATTCCCATGCCTGGAGATAAGATATTAAGTATGTGCTCACAAACCTTATGGTTTTAGATGTGGTTGTAGAAATCTTAAGTTATATTTGCAAAGCAGCTGAAGTAGTAGGATTTACACAACCTAAATTTAGGATTTACACAACCTAAACTGCCCTCTTCTGACAAAATCTTTTTTAGGTTAACAGAAGATGTGAGTAATTGTATGACTTTCGGTCTAAAGTTCCTGTCGCCAGAGCTAGGCCAGATATAAAAGAGATGCTTCTTCACATGTTTTAGCAGACATTAAAGTTAAGGTGCTCCAACCGTTTGGTCAACACAGACATGAATCCATGTGCAGCCAAAAAGTCTTATTTTTCTCAAAGGTCCCAAGCCAGTGAAATGAACACAAATTGTCATTTTATGGGAAGAACAGTTTGACCTACACAAAAATCTGGTTTAATTTCAAATAAACTTATACATAATTTTATGTGAATTGGACAGATGCTTTCAGAGTGAAGTTATACCGCAATCTGCCAGTGAAATCAGCCAGCCACCTCAAGTTGAGCAGACCTAATCATATATTGCTAAAAAATGCTGTACCAACTTGGAATCAAAAGCTCCAAAACTGACACCGAGTCTGATCTGCCTCTCATAAAAGTTTTAAGAGTAACGATTGACTCAACATGGGTACAGATAGTAAACTGCTATAAACCAGAAGCACTGGTCTCAAGTCCATCTGAAAGAAGGGAAGCAAAAAATTAAAAAGACAATGATTTTTTTCACGATTGTCAGTAAGCTGAACAACTGCTAATGAAATGCATCATCTAATGAAATCTCCAGGACTAGAATATTATGACTTGGATGATGTAAGCTAATTCCAAAAAGGCACCTTCTTTTTGTGGAAAACATTTAGCAAAGGAGCTGAAAATTCCATATCTGCTACAGATTTTTTTAGTGCCCGGTTACATTGCTATGTGCTCAGTTAAGAAAAGCCTGCATTATCTGATTAAACCTTATTGTTTGGTATTGTCCTAAGAACTCTTGTAAACAGAAGTTATGTATCAATGTGAAAAGGCCTCAACAGAACCAGGGTTAACAGAACAAAAAACCGTTCACAAAAAAACTACCCTGCTCTACCATAGCAATGAACATCCCACCCTCACTAGCTGTATAATGGCAGCTTCAATTCTACAATTGTTTTAATAGGAAGAAGAGTTACTGTTTGAGTAATAACAAGACATTTACCTGGCTCGGAGATCAGCTACTTGATCAGTCATCTGGCCCAGCATTTTACAGGTTCCCAGAATCTCTCTGCGCTCTTTGCCTGCACACAGTTCTCCCACTTTTCCAGCTTCATCAAGAATTTGCCTTATTGCTTGCTCACCAGCATCACCTACCATGCAAAAAGCCAACAATATGTTTAATGTGAGACATTCATTATTTAATAAGAGGAAACTGCTAGTTCCATCACAACCTGCTTCCCTAATTACACTTCATTCAGGAAGGAAAGTACATTTATTGAAATGATAGGGTAGGCACACACACTGCAAGAAATCTAATACCTTATTGTAAGACAATGTTTCTGCAACACTGTACTGTTGCTTTAGATCGGGGCAGGCAATTATTTTGAGTGGAGGGCCGCTTAATGAGGTTTGGTGAGCTGTTGAGAGCTGTATGGGTAGTCCCACCCCTTGACAGTAGCCCTGCCCCCTTGTCGCCATCTTGGGACTGGAAGTCCCACCCCTAACCCCTGACCTTTGCTACCAGAAGTCCTTCCCCTCGCCCCCTAGAAATACTCCTTTTGGTTACTCATCTTAGAACCAGAAAAAAACCAAATCATACACTAAAAGTCAAACACCTACTATAACAAACAGTATTTTAATTTTACTACAACAAAATTTTTTGTCATGATTTGTGTTTGCATGTGTATATAGAGATGATTGCATAATAACTCAAAAATAAATCCTTAGTTTTGCATATGGGGGGTGTATGGTAGGATGTGTGTGGTGTAAGTATAGTGTGTGTGGGTGGTAGGGTGTGTATGGTGGGGTGTGTGGGGGAGTTGTGTACATATGTGGGGGGTTGTGGTGGCAGGGTGTGGGTATGAGGGAGGTTAGGGGGGTAGGGACACCCCCAAACTCTCCCCATGGCGCAGCAGAAGGCAGGGCACAGGCACCCGGTGAGTCGTGGCTCTGGCTAGTGATGCACATCGCAGTGAGAGGCGCAGCCTCCACTGGGCCACCTGTATCACTGGTGCTCCCCGCCACTCTCACACAGCCCCTGCTCTCACATAGCAGGGAGGGAAGTCCCATGTGCTGGAGCCAGCTGCCTTCCCTGCTAGAGTTGCGCAGCACCGGAGAGAAGCCCCAGGTGCTGGAGCTGGCTTACTTCCCTGCCCACTTGGGGCCAAGGTGCCTGGGACATCCCTCCCGTGCAGCACAGCCCCAGTGGGGCACGGAAGGCAGCCGACTCCAGCGCCTGAGGTTTCTCTCCAGTGCTACACAGCCCTGGCAGGGAAGGTAGCCAGCTCCAACACATGGGGCTTCCCTCCCTGCAATGCAAGTGCAGGAGCTGTGCGCGAGTGGCGGGGAGCACCAGTGATACAGGCAGCCCAGTGGAGGCTGTGCCCCTTACTGCAATGTGCAGCACTGGCTGGAGCTGCACCCTACTGGGTGCCTGCACCCTGAGTGCCCTGCCTAATGCTGCTGCCACTGCCTGCCAGGGCTACATGCCCTGCTCTCCCTCACACCCACATACTGCCCATCCAAGCTTCATGCTGCTGCCATCCTTTGTTCCCCTAGGCACAGGCTCTGCATTGCCACCAGCCCCAGCCCCCCAAAGCCCTGCCCCCGATACGTCCCTACATGCTGCCCAGGGCCAGCAGAAGACCAGGGAAGTGTAGCAGGTCCCCGAGGGCTGCAGCAGTGGCAGTAGCAGCCCCTTGCAGAAGCTCCATGCTGGCTGGACAGGCCCTCCCGCCCACTAGGGTTTTTTGGACTACATGTAGATGTGGGCACCTCGCTCCCACCTTCATGGGAAGGAGTGGGTGGGAATTTGTTGGTGGGCCCTGCAGGCTGGATGAAACTGGTTGGCTGAATCTGGCCTGCAGACCATATTTTGCCCACCCCTGCTTTAGATATACGTAACCCATTCTCATGATTACACAAAGTCTGAGGTTAGTTTTATATCTAGAGATGCAGCATTTAAGATTTTAAAACAGTAATCTAGATAGGGGCGGGCAGTAGCAAGCAGCTCATCAAAAATCTTGATCCTAGCCTGCCAGTTTGAGCAAACCTCTTCAGCTAAGTACAGAGGTTAAAAAAAAACAAGGCAAAAATTGACACAATCTTCACAGTTTTTTCTAAGTTGTATAAATTGAACCAGTAACAAACTGAACTGACATTCAGTGTTTGGGTGGCCAAGACAGACAGAAGCCTTCACTGGCCCAGGCTAGGAGCCTAGGGGCAATCATGTGCACCACCCCTTATGGCCAGCCTGCCCGAGGCTGATGAACCCAGCTCAACGGCAGCCCAGGGATCACCCTAGCCCTGCCCCTTCCCAAGCTGTTGGCCTCCAAGGGGGATGGAGGGGAGAAACACTGCCCCCTCCTGCTGCTGGGGGGTGGGGAGCAACCACCATGGAGCTTTTTGCTCCCTTGCAGCTTGTGCTGGGCTGGGATTGGCTCAACCCCGCTTCTTCCCCAGCCAGGAAATGGCTAAGGAGGGGCGTGGGTCTGAGCTGATCCCAACCTGGCTTGGAGCTGCAGACGGCAAGAGAGTGCCAGGTGGGAGCAGGGAGGGGTATGTTCCCTCCCCTCTAGAAGACAGAGGCTGGGGAGAGGACTAAACCCATCTCTGCCTGGCTCACTGGGCTGCAAGGGGAGGGAGCAAAAAGCCCCAACTACAGGAGCTTTTCCTCCACTTGGTGTACAGCCCACTTCGTAATATTAATGCAGTCTTTAAATTTTTTTTTTCATTTTTGTTTTTTTTTTAATTACCAATTGCTTTTACATGGAAATACAGAAGACTTTTTTTTTTTATTTTTTTATAGATTATTAAACCATGTTTTCCCAAATTATTTGTAATGTGGTACTTATTTATTAGCAAAAAAACCATAAACAGACAGATACATATTTAAACATTTAACATCATTCTAAGCAGAACATATAGGAAAAGTATTATTTACCATAGTTTAAACTATATAATTTGGCCAACAAAAAAAAGCAAAACATTATGGAGTACTTTGTATGTAAATTATTTGCTTTATATTAATATTTGAAGAAAAGAATATATCTGAAAAAGTTTGTTCAAAATAATCGCATATCAGTGTATTAACAACGTGCCAGGAACATTATCTTTGCATTTTTCCCCCTTTAAACAAACAGTCATTTAGACATTAATGGCGCCTTTACATGAGCAGAGAGGCGGCTCTGACGCACTATAATTACAAGTTGGAGCAAACTCGATTAATAGAGTCTGCTGGAGTGTGGTAATTACTGCGCTCCAGCAGACTCCAGCATCACATGTATCAGTGCCCCTGTGCTGAAAAATGGCAGCAAGGGTGTTTTAACTACAGCTCATTTGACGAGCTTTGGTTAAAACATCCCCGCCACTATTTCTCAGAGCAGGGATGCTGATACAGGAGATGCTGGAGTCTGCTGCACTCATTTGACGAGCTTTATTTAAAGTGCCCCCTTCCTTCCCCTCCAAAGCACATGTATAAATGCCCTAAGGCAGGGGGAGGCAAAATCCAACTAGCAGCTGGACTCAATTTCCCAGCAGCCCCTGCCCGCATTGCTGTGGCTGGTGTCCATGGAGATCCCAACCACAGCTGTGCTATTAAAGCTCAAAGCTGTGATTGCCATGGAGACCAGCCCCAGCTGTGCTGGCAGAGTGTGCAGCAGAGCAGGATAGGGAGCTGCTCTGGAGCCACTGGGATCTTGAGATGGGGGCAGCTTGCTCCACAGCCAGGGCAGAGCCACAATCTGTAGCTTGCACGCTCCAGGCAGGGGCACGCAGGCAGTGGATTGCAGCTCTGCCCCTGCTCTAGACCAGGCTGTCACCACTGCAAGGAGGTGGCAGAGCTTCGATGTGCAACCTGCATATTCCAGGCAGGGGCGCACAGGGATCACAGTTCTGCCCCTGCTCCAAACCAGGCTGTTGCCACTGCAAGGAGCCAGGGCAGAGCTGCAATCCCCTGCCGCCACCCCTGTCCGGAGTGTGCCGCCTACAGATTGCAGCTCTGCCCTGGCTCTGGAGAAAGCTGCCCCCGCTGCAAGATCCCAGCAGCTCTGGAGCAACCCCTTGCCCTGTCCTGCTGTGCACCCTGCTAGCAGGGTGAGGCTGGTCTCCATGGCAACCCCAGCCTTGCGCTTTCATGGGCAGGTGTGGCTGGAGTCTCCCCCCCAAGGATGCACAGGGGTGGCTGAGAAATGGTGTCCGCTGCTGACCAGATCCAGCCCATGGGCCAGACTTTGCCTTCCTCTCCCCTAAGAGTTTGAATACTGCATTTGGGGTGATTTTAAAATACCTGCTGGTGCATTAGGATCCCTTAGCCATCCTTTTGCCTGGTTCATTTTGGAATCGATTAAGGCCAAAGCTCTCTTCATGGCTTCAGTGTCCTTTGCAAGAAAGAAATCAATCACATTCATTCAGTTGTCAAACCACAGATAGCTAACACAGTCAAAACAGACATAAGTTGAAGCACAATCTGCTTGCATATAAAGCTTTTATAAAACAGCCCCCAAACGTATTGATACTAGCAGGTTACAGTCAGAGCCCTCCCTGGGGGTGTGCAGGGCCCGGGGCATATAGGGGCACAGGGGGAGGGGGGAGGCGAGTGTCTGGAGCCAGCAAGCCTCAGCAGTGGCAGTGCATGGCGGCCACAGTGAGGCCTATACAGCACTGAACATGGGGCTTTCCAAAGCACGGGGCCCGGGGCAGTCACCCCGATTCACCTCCCCGCTAGGGATGGCCCTGATTACAGTCCTTTCTTTAAGATTAATACCAACAGACGTGTTTTCATCCTGCCCAAAAATGCAAAACCAAAATCTTGCATGCAAGTTTAGTTATTTTGTCTGTTCACTCATTTTCCTATTGTTATAACTCCCAAAGACAAAAGCTCTAACAATCCATTAGCTCCCCAACATAAGTATAAGTGTACATAAAAATGCTTTAGGGACTGCACTACTGAATGAAATTATGATTTAGAACTTTTCCCCCACCAACTTTATACCAATGGGAGTGGTAATCTTCCAGGCAAAAATTCAGTTACTATTTTAATGTCCTTTCCCAGATTAATCTGTTGAGTGTTTACATTTTTGCAACTTATCCACCTTTCAAGTTAGAAACAAGCTACCATGCATTCCCTTCAAGGGAGAAGGTGGGAGAAGCTGGATTCACGGCCAACTATTAGGATTTACAAATAATGAGAGCTTTGAGTCATTAGAGACTTACATATGCACACATTTATGGGCTTTTTCATTTTTTTTAAACTTTAACCAACTCATGACACTATGCCTTTGTCAAAGACACCCCTATTTTGACCATCTGGCCACTATCAGCTCACTAAAGCTCTTCTGCTTAGAAAAGACCAAAAAATCTAGTCCTCCTTCCACTGCATGAGCCTGTCACTAGCTCATCTGCAAACTCTCCACTAGAAGCCATTGTGAGTTTTCTATCTGATGTATATACAATAAGAAAATACAAGAACCACTATGAGTAGGAAGTTAGAGAAGAGGCCAGAAAACAGCTCTTGAACAAATGTATGATAAAAGGTAGCAAATTTGTTTAATGTGAAGTTCAAAGCTGTGCTGTCAAGTCAGACTTCCAGCAGCTTTATGCAGAGTTCTGTTACCCGACAGCAGGGGTTAAGAGAGGAACCCTGGCCCCTAATACAACTCCAACGTAACAATGTCTGAGCTCTGGACTGCAAAGTCCCTGGGGCAGGGATCAGTATCTTGAACTATATGGGACACACTGACAACACCAACACACCAATTTTTTTCTGAGCTAGTGTCATCCCTAAACTTAATCACTGTGGTATGTATGCTCTTATCAACACAAAGTCATTGCTTGATGACCTCTACTGACTCCCAATTCATTTCAGAACTGTTCAAGAGCTTGATTACAATCTATGCCAAGGGTATTCAACCCTTGGCCTCTGGGCCAGATCCAGCCCCTGGAGCAGTCTCACCTGTGGGCATCCCCATAGGTCTGAAAGTCTGATGCCGAGGGAGGGTGCACAGGACTTGATCCCAGTATGCGAGGCCAGGCAGGGACAGCGTGGGAGAGGGGGTGCATATGGAACCCAGTCCCAGAAATCACTGGTCCCGTGCTACTTGTCAGGCCCACAGAGTCAAAAGATTGACCACAGACTGACCTATGCAGGCCTATATGCTCTGGGATCCATCTCTACACAAAGTCACCTCATGCCATGCTAGAGTTTCTAGGTGGCTCGGAGTATGGGCCTGGGACTGCTTTCCAAAACCAGTGGAATAGCACTTAGCAGAAAGCCTCGCTATGAGAATCTGTTCCCTTGCAGTCTGTCAAAGAGAGAGATCAATAAGCTTCAGAGCCAAGGACAAGACCCAGGTTGGAAAGGCTTATTACAGAATATCCTGGTGGTCATCACCTTCTGATCCCACAGTTTGCTAATTCTATGCTTAATTCTTAATAACTTTATGCTAGTAGTCTTAAGTATTATCACTTGTGATGGTTATAGCTGCAACTGCCATTGTCCCCCTGCTTTACCAGTGGCAGGTCAGGGTGTGATGCCTTACACTTGTGTGACAAGGTTGATTGTGTAACTTTAGCAACAGGTTATAAAAATGATTTGTATGGGATAGTTTGGATAGGGATGATCCTGCCTGAGGGAAGGGGTTGGACTGGATGACTTACATAGGTCCCTTCTAGCCCTACCTTTCTATGATTCTATTATGTTTCAGATGAGGACTAAAGGAACTTCAGCTCTCAATGGGCAATGAATAAGCCAGCTGCTCCATAAATATTAAAAAACCCCTAAATATTTAAAAGGCAAACAGATCTGTCACAAGTGTCTTTAATAAAGTTCCAACACTGCATAATAGACTCATGCGCCTACAAATTAGAAATACATACATCTTTGCAATATTATTGCCTCAACACCTAGTCAACTTCAGGTAGTCACCTATTCCTAAAGGGACTTCCTAAAAGGGAAGATTTATGTGGTTGTGTTTGTGTAATATGAGATTGCGTCTTTAAACTTTGCCTTGGAGATTCATAAGAGGGCAGATTAAAAATAATTCCTTCCAATTCAAATTAATTTAAAACTTAAAGACAAAAAACATATTTTCCTTATGTCAGGGGCGCACAAAATATGGCCCACCAATTGGTTGCATCTGGCCCATGGCTGCCACATATGGGGCTTGGTCCCATATACCCCTACCCACGCCATGCTCCCACCTGCACCCACCCTGTGCCTGCCAATGGCACCATGCTAGCCCCAGCCCCAGCCCCAACCAGAACACACAGCTTCCCAATGCTGCTGCTGCAGCCACCCAGGTACTTCTCAGCTCTCCCCACTGCCCCCACCTCCAGTGGCTCCTCCTCCTCCTCCCCCTGCTGTGCCACTCTGGGCATCAGATAGCACAGGAAGGCAGCAGCAGCTGTGCGGGTGTATGCCAGGCACCACACACCCAGTCAGGCAGAGGAGAAGATGCAGCCAGGTGGCTCCTGCCCCAGCCCCAGCCCCAGCCCCTGACTGCCTTCCACCCACTCTGCCCAACTGGTGCAATGAGCAGCCACCTGTGGGTGACTGAGAGGGTGAAAGGCAGCCAGGACCTGGAGCTGAAGCCAGAGCCCCACCTGCTGGGACAGAAACCACCCAGCTGCAGCTTCCCCCCGCACCTAGCTGGGCATAGGGTGCAAGGCACATATCCCCATGGCCACCGCTGCTTCCCTGTGCTACCTGCTGCCCAAAGCAGTGCAGCAGTGGCAGGAGTAAGAGTCACTGGAGGTGGGGGGAGGCGAGCAGTATCTGGGCAGCCACCAGGAAGCTGTGTGCTGGCTGGGGCCGGTGCTAGGATGGAGGGGAGACCATCAATGGGTATGGGGTGGGTGCAGGCAGGAGTGCAGCATGGGCTGTCCTGGGCAAGGAGGGGCTTGGCCTTGTGCAGAGTACCACAGGGATAGCTGCGGACTGGATGGGAGGGGTGGGGCTGTACCACAGCTGCACCACCCAGGTGAGCTCTGCTGCATGCACCCCCTGCCTCCCCTCCCTCTCCGCACCCTCGGCTGGTTCCTGCAACCTAGCATATGGGCAGCTCCCCACACACATGCGCATAATGCCCCCTGACATATCCACACCCTCCCAATCCCACCCCGCCAACATACTTTATTTTGAGCTATTATAAGCTCAAATAAGGTGAAGGTGAATTGCCTCTATATACACTGTGGCAGGCCAGTAGGGGGTGCTCCTGCACTGAACCTCTCACCTCACTGGGCCCGACCACCTTCCAGGCTCTGAGTGCTTCCCTGGGGGCCCCCCACGTCCCGCCGACCCCCTTCCTGGAGCACACCCGCTAGCCTGGGGGTAACACCACCACCTCCCAGGGTCTTAACTGATCCTGTGCCCCCTGGGAAACACAGGCCTGGTAGCCCTTGAGGGTACTCAACCCACTTCAAGAACTTTGGGTACTTCCCTCAGTCTGAAGCACAAATACTGGTCTCCCTTAGTCAGCTGAACCAAGGGGACCCCAAGGCATAATCTAGACCCACTCCCAGTAAGTCTCCCACCTTAGGTACAAAGGAGAACTTTATTGGTTACAAGGAGTAGGTTTGGAATAAGGTACAGGGTAGAACAATATCAGAGAAATCCCATAGAGCAAACTGGCATGGCTGGGTAGCCTTTGATCACGCATCTGAGTTACTGCAAGCTATATATCTAGTTCCATCTCAGGTAGCTAACTCACAAGTATCATCTAGAGGCAGGTGGAGATTCCCTCTGGAGGCAGGCAGTTCATTGATCATGAGTTTCAAGAGGAAGAGCAAGTTTCAGATGATCCAGCTCTTCTCTTTCTGAGTTTTCATCATGGCTACTGCTCCTCCTCCTGGGCAGTCCTTAACTTATATAGACCTTATGACCTCATTTACCTGGTCCAATGGAGGCCAGCACCTGTTGGCTGCCAGCCAACCAATTTGAAATGCATCACTGGTTGCCAGGTAGAATGGCAAGGTCTCTAGCCCCCTCCCAGTCAGGTTGGCATTGCTCAGAACAATAAGGAGAGTAAGCCCCTCACCCAGGTATGTGATGTCAGTCACATAAGCAGAGGGAGCAGGTTTCCCCTCTCTCTCAGGAATGTATCCAACTCAGGTTACCTAAAGAGATGGGATGTCTGCCCTCTGCAGGGCCCATGTTAATCAAACTGTCACAGAGCAGAGTTTTTGGGGAGAGACAGAGGTGGCATTCTGCCACATACACTGCTCACAAAAAAAATCAAACAAATCAGGACAAAAATATTATTTGAAATAAAATTAAAATATGTTATAGTACTTTGAATTTTAGTATTTTTTATCTATTATTTGTTAAAATTACGTCTTCTGAAAGATTATGTGTATGGCCTTCAACAGCTCACCCAAACTATTA